AAGAGAGTGAGAGGTGCCTGTGGTAGAGTTGTTGCGTAGAAATTCGACGAGGGAAAATATGTTTTATTAGTATTATTATTACATAAATTGCATCCAACAAGCAGTCTTTTATAGCGCATTCGTATAATATGTACATATACGTATTAAATAACAATTTTCTTTGGCCAGCTTTTTTCCGATTTGCTCGTTAGATATATTTCATTTAGTTTTTTTTTTATTGGTTTCACGGTTGCACATGGAACTGAGCCAGACGCTTGTGTTTACCCGATTCAGGTGTGCTTTGTCTTGCTCTTTATAACAGTATATTATATTAAACTTTCGAGTTTATATTAAACTTTAGTCGATATTTGCGCGCAGATATATGATAATACATAGCTATAATAGCTATATAGTATAAATATCCACTATTCAAAAAGTACTGATCAAGTATTATTACAAATAAATGTGATATTCGGTTTTTAACTATAAATAAGTGTTAAACTCGGTAAAATAAGAGAGTATGTGAGAGATTGATAAAATAAAATCATAATATTATATTCTAAAAAAGTTTCTCATATAATATATACATAATAAAGCAGTGTATTAAATACAAAAAAATACATTAACATTAAATGTGATTTCACTGAAGATACTGCATACTGCCTGCTGTTTATGTATAATATATATTATACGTATAACAAAGAAATATGATAGGTCTTTAAACAGACTGAATAGTTATGTATATTATTATAATTTAATAATTTCAAATTATACAAAAACTCAGAACCTTTGAGAATAGATTACTAAGATAATATGTGGACCAGCTTTGATAAACTTAAGATAAACTCTTGAACGCGAAGAGTCAGATAATTCACTGGTTTGGACAATGGACATATAATGAAACGAATGGAAACAAATTAAGTAAGTTAGGGCGTCAATTGAATACCAATTAACAGGTAGAAGACCTAGAGGCAGACCCAAGAAACGATGAATAATGGAGTGCGCCAAGATCTAAAGAAACTAGAAGTAATAGTTTGGGAAGAAAGAATTCAGGATAGCAATTATTGAAGGTCGGTGACGGTGACAGCCAAAACTCTTGTAGTTATTATAGTGAGTAAGAAAATATTAGTATTTTATATTTCTAAAAATCATTTTAGTATAATAAAGAAGTACTAGACAGGATATTAGAATTATTTCATATTTTTTATAAATCCATTACTAATAAGAATTATCATCTAATATAATATAAAGTTTTTTAACTTAAGATATCGGTTTGAACTTTTTAAGTGTATCAATATTTTCGAAAAAAAAAAACCATTTACTTAATAATTTATAGTGAAAAGAGTGATTCTTTTTTTTTAATAAAAAAAAATTATCACCATAGAAGTATATTATACTTAGGGCATTCTTAAATGGCATTTTAGAAAAATTAATGCTTTTAAAAATATGTCTTAAAGTATATTCGACAATTTAAAAAATCAGAATTTGATTAAATGCATTATTAAAGAATTTAAGGGAGGCGGTGATGAGTATGCTCAGTGAATCGTCCTGCATAATATACTAAAATGGTAACTCCACAGGCAGCACGTAAATTGACGTTTAGTACGAGTAAATTATAATAATGAACACACCGAGTGTGCATGAGATTTAATCGGTCCGCGTTGACGTGTTTACCTACCTATACGGCTATATATATTACTACATACCTATATAATATTATATCCATCGTCATCGTTGCCATCCAATAATCGTTTCCGGGTTTACACGCGAAGTGATCGTTTGAATTGCCCGTTTCAAAAAAGTAGGTAATTATAATGATGTACGCAAGTACTATTGCTGTAGGACTGTATGTCTATTCAAAAAATAAACCTATTTGACGTCGATTATTAATATGGGCTTGTTTTCTCAACTGAAAACGGTCGATAAATGTACGTACAGGATTTGATGACGATTTGAGAATTATTTAAGGAAACGTATACAATAGATAACTAGAAACAGTGTTTTTATTTCTCTTAATTCTTAATATTATTGGAAGTATATTAAATCGGTGAAAACTAATCGGAAAAAAAATACATATTTAATAATAAATATACGCAACCGTGCGATTGTTATCACAAGAAAAATACTTAATTTTTTCTTTTAAAAGTTGTATGTTTATCACACTGCTGTTTGAACTGTTTAATTGAAATTACGGTTATTAGTGTTTGTATTTATCCCGATATCATATCATATTTTTTTAGGCCATATTGTTTCTCTTCTAGTCATACGAGTATAATATAAATATATAGTCTTGGCGGACCGGCGTCTCCGATACGCCACTTGCTCTTTGACGTAAAAACATAAAATTTATTAATTTCAAAGTATTAGGTACCTGGATTTCTGTGGGATACATTCAAATCTGGACTACGACAAAGATTTGTACTACGAAGGTCGTTGGACCTTTGGAGGATATAACTGTTGTCTTGCCGATACGCGACGTTTGCAGCGTTATTGAGGAAGGCAATAATGATAATATATGATATGGATATAAAGATTATACTAAATGTTATTACTATTATTATTAGATACTGTTATTAGTGACTAGTTTATTATATTTTTTCAACCGTATTAGGTCTAATATTCACGTCAATGTGGGATTTATTTCGTTTTCACATCAATCACGTAATATTACTACTACTAATAATAACATAAAATAGCTATATACAGATATTTTACATTTTATATGCGTAAATATAGTTGCAGGTATATTGTACACATTATATTTTATATATTTTAGGTGTGTAGATACTAGCGGATTTAAAATGAAAAGTAGTAACCCACGTACAATCTAAATCTATAACGTATAATATAACCCCTAACCCACAACCGAAGTGTTTTATTTATTTTTTTTCAAAAACTTTAGAAGACTATTATCATAATATAATGTACGCTCGTGCTTCAACAGTAGGTAATAATCATACATATTTCTGTCATTATTATTTATGATGGTAGAAAAAACTTTTAATTTTTAAATCACCCTACTCTCGATCTCGACCCGAAAACTTATTAAGCCGTTTTTACAACGTCGCGCCACGGCGTATACTCAGTACCGGTCTTTGTTTTATACATTTAATTGGTACCTACATATATATAGCGGACAGTATTATACAGTCTCGACACGTTGAAGTATAAAAATAAAATATTAATATCATAATCGTTAAAACTTTAAAAGCATACACACATAATTTATAATGTGAACACACATGCGTACAGCGTACATACGGGTGTACAACTTTCAACAACGTGTTTTAAAAACTAATACTGTTGATATTATAGCTAGTACAGCAAATTACCGACTAGATATTTAAGGTATTTTAAACATAGTGGATGTTCTTGTTTAAACGTAGAAGGCACGGTGAAATTTATTTTCTGAATTAAATAGCTAAATATATTTGTTTATATATATTTTACGCATGATTTTTTTTATTCAACTAATGTAAGGTCATTGAAATCGAGGAACTAGTAATTTAAATATTTAAATATTTTATATAATATCGTCAAGAAAAATTGACTTAAAAAAAATTAATTTAAGTTTATTATTATCTATTATACTTTAAACGAATGCTTGCGATGTCATACGTGTATATGGGAAAGCAATCACAATTCACAATCATATTACACAAAAAGCAGGAAATGTAAGTAGTGATAACTTAATAAGCGAATGTACAAGAGCAGCATATGTTACACTTTTGGAAGCGATATACATTTATTAAAGAAACGTGTGTTATACATTTTACATACGTGTATATTTTGTTAGATATTGTTCATTTGTAGCGAATGAGAATAAAATTGAATAATAATGCAATCAGTCTATACTAAAATATGTGCCAATAATATGCAATAAATATAACGAAAAATCAGTTGAATAATGAATGAAAAGTGAATGACATGTTGATCGAGCGTAATAAAATCAAGAATACTAAAAATGAATAATTTTTTTAAATGAAATAAATTTGTTGTACCTCAAAAACCGGAAATAAATAATAAAAATAGAGTTGATTAAAAAAATAAGGTATGGGATATATATTACATTTTTAAGGTAGAAAATATATGACTCAATAAACAAAAGTTGAAGAAAATGTACTTAATTTCTTTTCTGTGTCTTATAGAAAAACAAAATATGACCAATATAAATTGTTATACCTGGTTGGTATATAAAAATGATGAATGTATCAAAAACTTAAATGTTATATTTAATATCTCTTTACTTTACTATATCAACTAATTAGTATATTTTTGATATTTTATATACCTAAATTAATAAAAACACATCAGCTCATTATCAGAAAAAGAAATATTAAATCTTATAACTTATAAAATAAATTACTAATTTATCAGTTTTTTTTTTTAAATAGAAGAATTTATTTTGTTTTACTATAAAACAATATATTTTTTCTTATATTCAATCAATGTTTTTAATCGATCAACTTATTATGTATACCTGAAGCAGAAGTTAAAGTACGTCCACGTGCATTATTACTGCACAGTGTAATCTATCGTATTATACATAGGTATTTTACCTCTTTATTGGGGTAAAATATCAAAGTATAGAAATTAAAATAAATGCAAGATAAAATCCGCGTTTATTTGTATCAAATATACTGATATAAATAGTTATAAATTACAAACAAATAAATTATAAGACTTTAAGTACTATAATATAAGAAAGCGTATTAAACGTGAAGCGACGTTTTGAAAAAAAATAGAAAAATAATAGATAGATAGATTAAGTGTGAGGCAGATACAGAAAACCACAGTGAACAGAGAGCAAATGAAGATGACCGGAGCGGGTAAAATGTTGTAAAGACATTAATACGTATACAGATACCCTTGTAAAAAAAAATATCTCGATAACTATGTATGTTCACGTTTATAGTGTTTGTGTATAATGCGTGGTGTATAAAATTGATAATAAATTAAGCGAATAATAATAATATTAATAATAATAATTGCAGGTATATATTATTGTGCAGTGTGCCTACAGGATTCCGATGACTCCGCATGCTACCCTGGAACCGGCGTGTCCTGTGGTCAGGCTGTCGGTGAATCCTCCGCGGCCCATGTCATCGGTATCAGCGTGTACGACAACTGCGCGACCAAGGATGTTGTGGGCACCGACCAGCGAGATAAGGGGGTCCGAGAAAGAGAATTGCGCCACCCCCGTGTTGTCAGCTTGGATGTTGCCCAAGTCACCGGCGTGTCTGGTTTCGTCGTTGGGACCGCCGTGTTTGTTCTGCGAAACAACGATAAAATATAAGTTAGTATATAGACATAAAAAATATAACAGTGTCATCGTATTTAATTAGTTACGACTTTTGTCTAATTCACAGCAAAGTTCAGACGATATTACAATGAATGAATGCAGTTACGACGGCTGTCACTAAGGCAGCAAATCCGGAGATCGATCATCAAAAGCCTTCAATATGTTGTCCCCGTAATAATGGAATTTACAGCCTTTCCGTCGTCTACACTATCTGAGCCGTATTATGAAAATAAGAGACAGGAGTGGGAAAATATTGTAAAATGGATTAAAATTTTCAATTATTTATGAATGTTATGATAATCTATTATGTATACTAAACTGATTTACTCATTTATTTAAAAACGCGTTAACAAGATATGTAGATGATTTGGAGCGAAAAAGAATATTTGCTCCCGGATGTAAAAATTGTGAACCTGGCACTGCCACCCATCCTCATATTAACATAATAATTAACATAATAATATAACGCCTTCTTAGATTTTTTTTTTTCGTTTAATTATTACGTGTTAGTACGTCAGTACTTAAATTGTAATTTATTTAGAGACATGGAGTATACTACATACGCATGTTGCTGCAATGCTTGCAATAGACATTGATGAATGATAATTAATTAGAAAGCGAGTAAGGGTAATAGTAGAAATAGATTATGCGGAGATTTTGTTTCGTGTACATATAACATGTATATATATAAAGATAGATAAATATACGCTGGAGAATAAAAAACGTTTACCAACAAATATTTTATATGATTACTATACTGATGTTATACTTAGTAGTCTTAAATACGTTCATACAAACCATTATTTTAATACCTATATTTAAATTATAATCGTTACACGTTATTTGAGACTATAATACCTACAACGGTAATACGTTAATTAGGTTTCATAATTGAACCTTAGCTTGATAAATTAATTGTGATTAATGCAATTTTGAAGCTATAATACTCGGAAATTGCATACAAAATGATAGCGAGAATTAGACTTTTAGTTTTGTACTTTTTCAAAAAAAAAAAAACAATATATAGAAGTATTTTAAATTATGAACCACACCATTCACGCCTTATAGTCTTACTATATATATATATATTGTGATATAGTGTATATAATAATATATTAAGTATACAATTTTAAACAGACAAGCAACAAATTCATTATGAACACCTACTATATAGAATTGCTTATCGCTATGTATATTTTTAGTTATTGTTACTTAAAAATCACTTGAATTATAATATATTATTCATATTGGGAAACTTGTATATGAAACGCGCGCGGTTTTGGATATTTTTAACAAAATAAATTATTAACGTACAGAGCTATAGAATTAATAAATACATATTTTGACAGTGGAAATATATTATTATTATTTATCTAGGAGGCTAGGACAACAGAACATTTATGTGTACTCATGCGACTCACATACACACACAATACACATATATTATAAAATATTTTAATACGTCATGATGAAAAAAGTTCAAGTTTTTCGTTTAAATTACGTCATCGGGATGCCTCTGGTGTAGATAATAAGTGTCAAACCTATGACTACAGCGATATGTCATTTATATACATATGTAGGTAAAATGTATAAAGCTATGAATATTAATAAAAATATTTTTATTATTAGGTACATATATGCGAGCTTGTAAATCGAAATCACGTTTATTTGTATTCTTTATACATGTGTATTTATAATATGTTGCTCGAGCGAAGACGAATCGTTTCTAATTTCACATCATCATAAGTGACGGATGTGCTATATATATATGTATGTATACAACCCGATGACGACTATAAAAAAAATCGTATTTTAACGACATTAAATAAATAGTATGTTTAAAATACTTGTGATTCTAAAATTGATATCGAAGCCCTCGTGATGGTTGAGTGGTAAGAATGGAAGAGGGTCGTATTTGAAATATATATATCACAGATGCGTAGGAATTATATTTTTTTGGAAGAAATAAAGTATATCGAACGTGTAAAAAACCTACAGTAGTACACACTATAATTTATAAGGGCATACACGACAAAATTACCTTCGTTTACGGTTATTAGGTACTTTCAATGATACACATAAATACGTGTTTATAGGTACAGCTGAATGTGCCGAAACGTTAATGATGTCCCCCTGCACCTTAATAGCGATCACCTTTCAAAAATAAATTTAGATTATATTACTATATTACCTGTTACCTGATAAATATAGTACAAATATACGTTTATTTTATAAATATTATTCAGTTAGACATAAAATTCTTTTATCAAAAACCGTACTATGTTTTATGATAACATAATAATGTGCAATAATTAACTTTTGGGTTGAAAAACTTAAATAGATATATATTATCTACATATTATGGCAATATTATATAAATTATTTTATACGTTAAATAAAATAAGTTTTTAAATACATTTTGGAGAATTATGACAGCTCAAATAATATAAAAAGTTAAAGCATTTTAACTTTTTCGAACTGATAAGCATACCTATATTATGTTTTATGTATAGTTTTTAGATTTAGATTTGATAAATTATAGCCAATAATTCAATAATCATTAAGCATAATCGTCTCGATAGAAAAATCAGTGTTGTTCAATCATAAATAAATTTAAAACTATATTTATTGACATGTGAATTGTGAAATAAATGAATAATCGATATACCTTTTGGCTATTTATGAATTAAAAATGAGCAAAAAACAAAAACTAAAAAAACTGCGTCCAAGTACACATATATACTTCGACGTATAAAAACGTAAATTTCGTTCTCACGCACGAAACATTAAAATTTAAAAATACACAATAATAATTGCTTGGCGGGTCGTTACCGTAATAATAATACTTAATATTATATAGTTAATAATTTACTACTGCGTGGTACATTAAACACAATTATAGAATATATTACAATAATTGGTTTTTGAAAACAATTATAATATTCCAACTACAGTATACAATATACTTATATAAATTAAACATTGTTCTGGCGTGATCGAATTGGATCGTGTATTCGTATAACAAAACCTATCAACGCCGGGTAAACAAATACGTACGTCGTGTTATTATAATTTAATAAAGGACGCACGGAATTCGACGGTCGTTACGATATAATATGCTCGTGGTACATTTATGTTATAATAATAACATAATGCGAGATACAGAGAAGATGAGAGAGAGAGAGACAGAGAGAGACAGACAGACAGACAGAGGCGAGTTTCCGGGCACGCCGTCCAAAGACGACTTTAACGACCATGTCCTTATGTGGCGACCTCACAACGTCAAATTAGCTCCTGTAAATTAACTAAATGAAAAAAATCAATAAACCAAAGACGGTGGGCCTCTGTAACAAATAACAATGGACCACTACAGCCGCCGCCCTGTCGCACGTCGTCGCTGTATACAAAACATCAGGTACGTTCTATGTATTGTAATAAATGTGCAGCGGCGTTATCGTACTGTTAACGTAACGCGGCTCGAATCCAATAATAAAAATGCTAAGAAAGAAAACTGTTTAATAATTTAACGTAAACTCGCCGTCACCGAGTCCTACCGGGTGTATGTTCGATGAAGTAAACTGTTTTTATTTTCATTTTGGATATTGCAGCGACCGAAAAGCAAGTTCCTTTTAGCGCATTTGAAATGTTCGTTGATGACGGTCACCGTAATACGTTAAAACCAATAAGTTTTAAATACTTGTATACAAATACCAAAAGTATAATGTTCAATATAATTCCGAAATCATTGATATCTCGGACGTTTTCGTCAAAGGAATTACTTTGTATACTACAATATGACTCATCAATCATGCTCACTCTAATTTTCCATTTATTGAAATTTTGATTTTTGGAATTTTCAAAAATATCTAGCGATCGTATTTTTAAATTCTTGAAATCTATTGTAATTGGAGATACTTAAAGAATATTCTATGGGAACACAAACTTCTGTTTTTCAAATGAAAACGTCTATTTTTTTCAAAAAATTATTTAATAGATAATTTTTTTTAAATGTTGTTGAACCTAATTAAAAACGCAAACGAGTAGTTTTATAATCATAAAAGTGTCTAATTGTCTATTTCCATCATTACATAAAAATATAAAATACATGTAATATTGGATAAATTATTAATTATATTTGAACCGTTTTTTATAAATTATAAATATGGCTAGATTTATATGAATTACTTAAGTTTTAAAATATCTTCCAAGCTCATTAGTCATTACATATATTATAGACTTTTTTTCAGAAATACCCATACAAAGATAAATAACTAAAAAAAATTTCGTTTAAATTTTGATTTTGATATACGTTGCATTTTTCAGAAAGTTATCTACTGAATAATTTACAGTAGATAAAGGAGGTTGTCGTTTTAAAAACAAAAATTCATGTCTCCATAGAATATTTTTCAAGTAAAATTTTTAAAAAATCAGATTTCGAATAATTACAATATTGTGGAAGAAAAAAGTCATGAGCACTGAGAATGCTTAGTGAATCATTCTGTATGATGTGGGTGTATGTGTGTGTGTGTGTTTATTACTACTTACCAGACGATAAATAATTCGAAATAAAAGATGGGATGGGGGGTATGAGCGGGTAAATAAAAACGGAATGACAACAATAGCAGCTTGTAATCCACCATAATAAACAACACAGTATTAAGTATACGACGCGCGTCCCGCTTGTATGTACAATGATCGGTGTTAAACCGTACTCGTTGGCGGCATGCTCTGCGGGACGCCGTCTAACCAGCGATGCGAGAGCCGACGAGAAACGTCATGTTAACTGCAATATTCAGCTTTTCCTTCGGGTGTCAAAACATTGTGTAAATATTTTAAAAGAAATTTATTTATTATTTTATGTTCTACACGCCTATAGGTTACTCAAGGCGTTTGATAAAAAAAAGATGTTTTTTCGCTTAGTCGTGCATTCCACAGCTTCGAAATCGATGCGGCAGTTTAATATAGGTAAG